CAGCTGCTGATTGCTCTCCTGCTAACCACAAGGGACATGTCCACATTACAGACTGGAGTAAACAGTAAGGATACTGCATTTACCTTGAAATTAATTAAATAATGCACTTAAGGAAGCCCAGCAGCAAAGTCTGATTAATTCTGGAAACTTCTTGGGGTATTCAGACAATAATAGGCAGAAATGCTGTGCTAAATAGAGAGAAGCATCAGAGACAACCTCACTTTGGAATTAGAGTCTTAGGCAAAGAGACAGTGAGAATTTGCATTTAATGTGATTTTTAAAATCCATTTGTAAAGGATAGAGTCTAGTCCACCTATACAAATTCTCCAAAAATGAGATGACCTTGAAAATACAACAAAAAGCAACCTTCCAGGAATGAAATGACGTGTTTTTCTGGACATCTCTTTCCAATACAAGCCCTAAAGGAAAGAACAAGCTAATCTGTGCCACCTATTTGGAAGGAGACAACTCCCTGCAGCTCATCAGGTGTTTGAACTAAATATTTGCAAAGGAAGTTTTGATTTTCTTTACTAAAAATAAACTCCAGCTTGTACATGAGGCTTATTTTGCAGTCTTCCACAATGTCTTTCCTGCACTATTTTCTGGGAATTTTAAGAGCTAACATTTGAACAGGTTTTGTCAAACTCTAAGGAAATAAAGGCACAGGTAGAAATTTCATGACCTTCTAAAACTGGGACTTGAAGTGTGGCTTATGTTCACTTTCTTTATTAGTGAAAATAAGTCACTTTTTTTCTCATCTAACTTAAATTGAAATATGGCTCTCCTATTCTAAAACAAAAATAGCCTCACTCAAGTATCAGTTACTAAGTATCACATCACTGAAGGCAAGGCAGTCCAGTCCAGTGTCACCATAGAAGTGGTTTAGGTTTTGTTTGTTTTGCATGCAGACGAGGTCAAAAATACTTTTGAAAAAGCTTCCCATGGGCACCCTCTGTTCCCTGAAATTAAAAACCATCAATTCAGGAGTCCAGCTGTCAGCATAAGGCACACTAAATCAGCAGACCAGATTCACTGTCCCCTCCCAGCCCTCGTCCCCTGCTAGACTGTCCCTGTGTGGCTGTGCCGAGCCCTTCACCTCAGCTGAGCTTGTGCCAGAGCTCTCAGCCCTTTTACAGTCTGGCTTCAGCTCTGCCCTCAGCACTCTGCCTCTGCTTACAAGAGCCAAGGTACATCTTCAGACCTTTAGAAGAAATCAAATTCATTTGTGGAGGTTACCCTCAGACCTTCTCTAGTGAGTGAGTGAGTGAACTCACACCCCAGCACTGTGCAGCTGTGTTGGTGCAAGCAGGACATGAAATGCCTCTGTGTGGCTGGCAAGGGGCTGGGCTGCCCACAGGAGTTTGAAGGAAAAATTATTCCCACTCACCTTTTAAGTTGGTTTGGATTTTTTTACTATTTATAATATGCTTGAGTTTTAAAAATAAGCCTGTCCTCATTGCTCCTTAGAGTCTGACTCAGTACCAACACCACTGACAGAGAGGGCCATACTTAGAGGTACTTGTCATCTTTGGGAGGAAAATCACTGGGCCAAACCAGAAGTGCCAGTGCTAGCCAGGAGGTGGCAGAGGAGTCAGGCTACCTTGTACACCAGTTTCTGCATTGTTTTGGCAAAAAGACAAATAGAAACTGAGGAAAGACAACAAAACCCGGTCCCACCCTCCATCTTCAGGAATAAGAGGATGAAACCCTTAATCACATTCCTGCTTGTATTTATACTAATTGCTCCTCTTCCTGAGATCTGACTTTATGAAATTATGCATGCACACCAAGTAGATGAGTTTCCATAGAAACTCAGGAGCTGAACTTTCATTAGAAAAATCTTTTTTAAAAAAATCTTCCAGATAAAAATGCAAATTGCCTGTCAGTGGGTGGCTTTCTGAATTTAGATATAATTTTTTTCTTTTGCACTGTAGGCAGATTCCAGCTGGACCTACATAGCAACAACATGCAGGCATTGTTTATAGCAAGCCAGACTCCATGGGGAAATGAGAAATTCAGTAGCAAGGAGAAGCTCTCAAGTGCAAATACCTCAGAGAAACAAAAACTCAAGTGCTCAGTGCTGCATCTTCCTGAGGCTTTGAGGTTTGTTCAGCCTCCAGCTCTCAAAATGCTTGTGGTTTGCAAGGAGCAGTGTGGGGAGGAGGGGAGGGAGGAAATGCAAAACCAGAAACTCTCCTGCACACAGAATTAATGATGTTCAACCTGTCCTTTAAACATCAGCAGCGTATTTGTGCCGCTTCAGTTAAGCCTCGCTAAAAGGCTGACACCATCTGTCACTGCTCACTCTGGGCACAGGACGGGCTCTGTGCTGGGCTGGGGAGCCTTGGCAGACCTGGCTTGGCCAAAGCCCAAACTTGGGCTGAGGCCTGGAGCCCAGGGTCATGTGCCCACACTGCCTGGAAGTCCAGGCATGCGTGCAGGAACAGGGCATGGGGCTGTTCCTCATCAGAAGGGGGAAGCAGGATGGTGGCATGCCTGGGAAGGGCCACGGGCCTGGGCAGCATTTGGCACCAACAGTTGTGCATGCAAGCAAGGAGGAGGTGAAAATCTCAAACTCCTTCAGCAAATGTTTCCTCCAAAAACATAGCAGTGTTTCACCTGTGCAGTATATTGCAGTGTCAACAGGAGGCCTTCCCCTGGCTTTGGGGAGCCTGGAACAGCTCTCTCTGTGGGTTCACTGATGTTTTCTCAGCCAAACTGGCAAGCTTGAAAGCACTGGATACCAAAGAGGAAATTTTTACCTGAGCTGTGCTTGCTGGAGGGCACCCACTCCCCATGGGCACAGCAGAGCACAGTGCTGCTCCTGGGCCTCCAGCACAGCACAGCAAACCCTGGGGAGCACAGCAGGGAAGCCACACCAGGCTGTGGTTCTTGACCAGCAAGGCTGCTGGGGCATGCAAGGGAGCTGAGCTGCACGAGCAGTTTACGACGAGGTGGATTTCAGTGCAGCATTGTTGAGAGGCGCGAGATGTCAGCCGGGCAGGGAATTCCCCTCCTCGTTGGAGAGGGATGACAGGCAGCAGCTGCTCGGGCTCCTGGCCCCTGTGCCTCCAGGGCCAGCAGCCCTCTGAGAGGCTGGATGCTGCTCAGTGTCAGGGTGAGGACAGCGCCGGCTCCCCCGCCACCAGAGAGCACAATCGGCTCTGCTCGGTCAGCACAACAGGAAGGGATTTTAGGAAGAGTGGGTTTGTGGTCGAGGACAAACTTGAGCTGAGATAGCTCCTGTCTATTCTTGGCTCAGCGGCAGATTTGCTACGGCCACGCTTCTTGCCCTTTCTATGCCTCATTATCCCTGTCAAGCGGGTGACTCAAATTATAATTGCACAAATTCCTTGCAGTCTGCCATTACGTGCCTGCAGCCATCTCCAGGCAGCCACCTCCAGGGGAACCAGCCTCTCCCACCAGGAACCTCTGTGCCACCTATGCCTGCACTCAAGGGGATCCTAAGATAACACCCTGTTGCCTTGTAGTTTTCCTGCATAGAAAGGAACCTAAAGAAAAAACAACCCCACTGCATCTCTAAATGATCACATTTGATACTGAGTTGATTATTCAGGTCAAGGTTATGGGCAAGAAGGAGTCAGTGAAGTTTTTCATAGCACTGCCAATATTTGATTAAATGGCTGTTTCCTAGTATTTCTCTCAGGCAAATGAATGTGTTTCTGTAGGTATTAGTACTATCACTGGCCTTAAGGATGCTGCTGCACCCTGTGTTTAATGGTACTTTTGTAAAAGCAAACTAAACAAAACAGAGCAAAAACCTTCACTATTTCTAAAAGCATCACCATTCTTTCATCAGTAATTTACTTGGGTTCTAGTTGTGAGACATTTCAGGTTTCTTACATCTTTTCATATGCACTAAAGACAATTAGACAGATTAAAGATTAAGCTAATGCTTTTCCTTATATATATGCATCCACCTACTATGTTGTCCCAGGAAAAGCATGAAGTCAGGCAGTCATCTCACTTGCCAGCATTTCCAGGGGTGAATGTGGGCAGAGGCCATGCAGAGCTTGGCAGGTGACATGGCAGTGCTGGCTGCTTCTTCCAGAGGCCACACCTGGATGAAGCTGCTGGAAAGTTCATCCTGGTGTGTGCACCTTCAGGAGGAAGCAGAGAAATGCCAGGATACGTTGTGGCCTGTGACAAAGCCCATGTGACCATCTGGGCTCAGTGGTTGACTGCTGTGTAATTAACAGGGAGCCTGGCTCATTAGGTGCCTTGTGGGTTCAGACACATCCACGAGAGCCCTATAGGAAAACATGTTCTTCCTAACACTTCTTTCATCCTCCCCCTCCCGTTCCTTCCAGATGGTTACACCCACTTGTGTCTTTTCTTACCCTAAGGACAGCTTTTTAAACAAGGTTCCTCCATCCTTCTCCTCCCCCACGCTGCTTTAGGATCTACATTGAAGTGCAGGAGGACAGAGCTGTTACATCCCATGCTGTTACATACAGCCTGCCCGTGCAAGGCTGGGAGGAGACCACATCCCTCTGCCCCCTGTTTGCTGGGAAGGAAGATCTCAGTGTAATCAGGATGCAGGAGATGAGAGACTTTACCTCAGGCTCAGCTGGGTGTTGCAGATGTGCAGGAATGAATTCAGATGCTGGCTGTAGTCAAACCTGTGTATATTTTCTGGGCAAGGAGAGAGGGATGCTTAAAGGGCCTGTAGCTTTTCTTCTGTATAGCACCAATAAATGCTCTCCCAGTAACACACAGCAGCAGCACTTGCAGAGCTGAATCTGAATCTGCTTTTAAAAACAATTATTTTCTCAGTTGCTTTTTAAAGAGCGCATCACTATCAAAAACCACAGAACTTAACAACTGATCACTTTTATTCCTCAGAAGTAGGCGGAGATGCCCCCTCCATAGGAGTCCTGTGCCTGCTCTCCCAGGGCAGCTTGGTGGGAGCTTGGGGTGCTCCATTTCTTCCTCTCCTGAGCGCTGTTGTTAACTGCCCATCACTTGTTTGTTGGCAGGGCCTGGTGCTGAGCAGACTTGGGCGGAGGGAGCTGGCCCAGAAGGTCCTCAGAGACGCCATCCGGATCCAGACCACCAGCCACACTGCCTGGAACAGCCTTGGAGAGGTCTTGCAGGCTCAGGGCAAAAACGAAGCAGCCATTGAATGTTTCCTCACTGCCCTGGACCTTGAATCCAGCAGTCCTGTCATTCCATTCACCGTCATACCCAGGGAGCTCTGAAGCTGCTCCCCGCAGCTCTAAGCACTTGCATTGCCTGGACAGACACCAAAACCAAGCAGATAAACAAAGAGGCCCAACAAAAAGTGCCATTGTAACCTGGAACTAGGCTAAGTAATTCCAGGATGGGGCTCAGGTCTACAGGCTTAGCTTAGACAAGCCAAACTGAAGAAGAAATTGCAACAGGCAGGAACAGAGAATGCCTTTTTCTTCACATGTGCCTGGCTAACCTCCTGTTCAAGTTAATAGCAAGGCTTAGTTCAAAGTGCTGGTTCAAGGTGACTGTAGAAAAATCATGCTAGGGTACAGCTGTTCAAAGCACTTGCACCTTTCAGTGTTGGTTGAAAATAAAACCCCCAAGCCCTGAATTAAAGCCCAGAAATGCTCTAAATAGGAGTAAATTCACCAACTTGAGCAAGTTGTGTGTTAGTATGTGGCTGTCTCCCCACAGATCTGGCAGGACAAGAATGACACTTGCACCAAATAGACATACAGTATATGCTGTTTACAAAATTATTTCATCTATTTTGATAATCCTTTTTCCTGCCTTGCTTTTATATACTGTATATGCTCACTATATTTAGTGTAGCACTCGCCTAGATAAATTTAAAATTAAATTTTAGTTTTAAATTAAAAATACTTTTTTAAAAATAAAGCTGCTATTGCAGTATAACTCACAAAAACAGTAAGACCAAAGACCAAATCAGTTCACACTTGAACTAGTATTAAAAACACATAAATATCTCCACTTACATATTTATTGAAAGGCCTTACATGAAGTAACTAATTTTAAGCTCTGAGCTTCATTCTTGCTAATCACCTATTGCATCAGTTTAGCAAGGAATATAGTGTTTACCAGTATATAGTAACTGAACTCTGTGCTCTACCACATTACCAATCCTGGCACAAAACATTTTCATATCCTTCTTCTGATGATGCAAAAGAAGGCAGCAGTCTTTTAAGGGGAAGTGTGCTGAAGGCAGTATATGTGTGCATGAACTGCTTCTTCCTTAAAACTAAATCCTTGGATTGTCCATAGGAGTTTCACAGTAGAGGTATGGAGTGGAGCCTTCAGTGGCATCATTTTGCATCTCCTGTCAGGTGTAATAGTGAGGAGCTTCTGATGCACACAGCCTCCCCATGGCTGGGACAGCCAGGGAGGGGACACAGCTGGCACAGCCCCTGCTGAGCTGCTGCTCAGCTCTGTGTGACCTCCCCAGGGCCTTGGCAGGGAGGTGGAGCTGGACTGTGCTGTCACACAAGAGCCAACCCAGACCAGACCAGTCCCAAGATAAAGAAGATGCAACAATTTGCTGCACTTTTCTACAAAAAATAAAAAAAGGTTGGGGCTTTGCGCCCATTTTTGTCCAAAGATTTGTGACTATTTACTAAGTAAGTTTGCACTAAAGCACACTTTGTACTATAATTCTGCCCAGTATTGTGATCCACAACTAGTTCACTCTGGAAATAATAATATCCTCAGGCAATAAATAAGATGGCATGTTTCTTGCAGAGCCTGAGGCTCTGGCAGCAGACTTGAAGTCATTGTTGTTTACAGTTATTTGGAAATCTGCAGGCTAATGGAGAGCTGGGCCCTTGTGCTGCTCCCAGCCCACACCATCGGAGAGCTCCCGCCCCCAGCCTTCCCTCAGGATGCCTGCACCAGGGGAAGCACACTGCTCTCAGGTTCCTCGCAGCAGCCTGGTGCACTCCAGGCCAATATTTTTATTTTTTCCCCTTAAATGATGCAGATGCAATAGCCCAGCTTATTTATCTGTTCACTGAGGGATTCCAGATCTGATGTAGGCTGATTTCACTGCAGGTGAAAGCAGCCCAGCCGTGAAAGGTGCTCAGCCCATGAGTCCTCTGGCTTTGCAGTGCCACACAGGCACCCAAAAGGACTTTTTTAGGCCAGGGGCAGGTTTCCTAGGAGACAGTGTTCCCCAGCCACATTCCTTTTTGCAATAGCACCAGCAGCAGAGGAAGGAGTAGGTGTTAAAGTAGCAGAATTAAAGGAGTTTCAAGAAGACAAAAAGATGCAGCAAGACACGTTTTGCTGCGAAGGATGCTCTGAAGTCAGCTCACTCTGTACTACAGGGAGAAAGAGGGAAGGGGAGGGGAAAGATGCTGTTGTTGACATAATATGTAAATTGTTACCTAGGTGTTTTAAGCCCAGTTTCACAGTCAGATGCAATCCGACAATAGACTTAAGCAGAGATATATATAAATAGATGTTATGTTCGGGTGTTTGTTCTGCCCCACAGTTGCCGGGGTGGGAGCGAGCCCTCTGTGTGTGGCACAGAGCCGGAGTCGCCGCTCCCTTGTGCCGTGAGTGTTTGCACAGCACTGCCATAGCAACTTCTGTGCACTGGGCAGCCACTGCAGAACAAGCTGTGCATCCACCTCTGCCACCCAGGAGCTGCTTGAAGAGGTCTGTAACGGGGCTGGGCCGTGACCTGGCAGGAGGGTGCCTGTCTCCCAGCAGCAGCTGAAAAGCAAACACTCACAGATCCATTTGCTCCTGCACACGTAGCTTGTGAGCAGCCAGCAGCCCATCACGTTTGTTGTGATCAGGCAAACTTCATCCTGATGATAATCACACTTGCCACAGCACTCATCTTCCTGGAAGAGGGGCAAGCATTAAAGAATACTTTGAGTGCATCAGCAAGTCAGGTGTTGCCAGGGTGGTCCCATCTTGTGTGCATTAATGAGCGTTTCTGGCATTGGAATCTCAGTCCTAAGAGCCTCTGCTCCATGTGTGGCAGGGAAGGTGTGCCTGAGTAAATGCCATCATCACCAGCAATCAGAGGGCTGTGGTACCCTCTACCAGCTCACCACACCACAGCACTCGCAACAACTGCAGACAAAGTACTTTGCATACATACTGGACTCAATCCTGAGATTTCCTGCCTGCTTCCCAGAGGATGCAAAATACCTCTTGGCTGGAAGGGTATTGTATGGGCTTGAAATGCTCTGTACAATGCAGGAAAGAGAGTGGTTGTTGCAGACTTACAAGTACTTTGGGGTTGAATCCTCCAGTTATATTTGTTAATCATGCTCAGCAAAACGGAAGTCTTCCCAAACTTACATGCTGCCTCTCTCACTCAACATGGATTTTGTTCACACTTCCAGATACAGAAAACAAAGACAACTGCTTCAGACAATCCTATGTATTGTAGTATTTATTTAGATAGCAATGTTGATAAATCTGATAGACTTACCTCCCTGAGCTCAGTAATAGGTGTGGCAGGGAATCCTGGCATGCTTAATGCTCAGGGTTTGAGATTTAAGAACAGAAGATTTACATCCCTGTCTCATATGATTATTGCAGATCGTAAGTAATGGAAGTTTGGGAAACAATAATTTTGGGGAACCAATTCTGCAAGTTTTAGCACTGACTTGAGTCTTAGCAGAGTTTTCTCATTCATCAGTTTTGAAAGAGGAAGATAAAAAGCCCATATCATTGCCTAAAGTATTATGGTCCTCTTGTTCCACTACAAGATTCTTTTCCATTTTTTGGCAGAGTGCATGCAAAAAGAAAAAATAATTACCTTCTGTTTTCCTGTTGTGCAGTAAAGGAGTGGTATGTGCCGTTGCCTTTGGCCAACAAGGAGGATTGCATATTGTAACAAAAGTGACTCTGCCTCCAGGACAACAGAAGGAGAAGCCCAGCAGGCCAGGGAACAGCTCCCCTCCCTGCCTCATCCCCTGTGCAGTGTCATTAGTGCCCCTGGAGCAGTTGGTTCCGGGCATTCCCAGCTGAGCTCTGCCCAGCCCGCGCTCATTCCGCACAGGGAGCGCGGCCGATCCCGCGCCGCGCACGGACCCCGTCCGTTTCTATTGGAAACACTTCGTGCTCCTGATTATCACAATGCTTCACAAGTGCTAATTATCTTTTCTTGGTAATGACTAATAAATCCAAATGGAGAACAGTCCTGGAGGGTGTTTACTGGAAAATTCACTGGCTGGGTACCAAAGCAGGCACAGCACTGGCTGCTGCAGTTGGAATTACAGTTATTTTGTCCAAAAAATGTTCCATTTTCAGAGAGTCTTGGTAAAGAATGAGTTTGGCTAGTTTGTATTTCTTTTTAATGACAAGCAAAGTGGGAAACAATCCTTTTTAGTGAAAAGGCATCACTGCCATGATCTTTTTTCAGCCAAACCAACAGAGATTTGATAGTTGCAGTTAAGCCTACAAGAGGAAGGCTTCCCAAAGCAACTGTGCTGCAGCAATAATTCCCTCTGACTCAATTGTATTACAGGCATATTTGACAATTATGCAATGGGCATGTGGAGCTCTCCCTCCTTATTTGGCCAAGGGGAGCTGCTTTGTGCCCACAGGGACAGCTGTGGCACACATCTGGGTGCTGTCAGCACTGCCCTGGCGCCTGCCACCTGCAGGGTGGCTGCTGGCTCAGTGACCCTCAGACTGCTCCCCAAGCCTGGCTCCCAGGGACGCTTTCCTTGCTGCTGAGTTGTTGCTCAGAGCTGCAGGATGCCAGTGCATGCTCAGACAGAAGGTTGTTTTCCCAGAAATGGAAAGCTGGGTCGTCCATCAGTCCGTGATGCTGGCAGGAGGGGAGGTAAGAACTGACCCAGCAGTTGCTTCTAATGAACTGGCTTGTGCCTTCAGCTCCAGGAAACCAAGGCAGGTTCCCAGGTGACTGGGTACTAGAAGATCCAGCTGGTTTTCTCACAGAATCACATGCCAGTCAGTGTCACAAACCTCTGATAGGGATGCAATGCTGCAACCACTGCGTAGCAGCCCATGGTGATTCAAGTAAAGAACCTCCCTGAGTCAGTGCTTAGAGAGGTGCTCAGCCTTTGCACAGCCAAGCATGTCCACCGTGCCACTCTGATAGTGTTGTCACAGGTGGCAGAATCAGTTTTCCATGTAACTTCCTTGGTCATTGTATGATATTTCCACCGAATTTAATAAAATTAACCCTGTGGAAAACAAAAATTGCTCCTTATATTTCCTGCTGATCTTATTCATGCCACGGATGCTTCAAGCATTATGAAATGTCCAGTTGTTATATTAACTGGAACCCAGTGTGCCTAGGAGTTACCAGTTACAAAGGGTATTTTGGCCTACACTCTGTAGTTCATGGGAAAAACGAGAGTGAGCATGCAAGCAGCGTGCCTTCAGAGAGGAACAGAGCCAGGAAAATGGAGCAATGTAGCTTCAGATGTTTGGATTTGTGGAGATTTAAGCGAGCATCATGCTTTTCTTGTGCTTCATCCAGTAAAAATAAACAAAGGTAGTGTGAGAAACTCTAACATCGAGGTAATATGTAAATACTATGCTGTCAAGTTTAGGGACTTACCTTACTTTGGCCACAATGCCGTTAATCATCTTTTTTGCTACAAACAGTTACTCCTGTTATTATTTGGAAATAAAATGTCTCCATTCAAGAGTTTCCAGAGCATTCTGTGCATTTACACATTAATCTTTTGGGCAGGTTTCAAGGAGGCCTGCTTAAAAAGTCCATCCCTTAGTTTCATACTCAAATGAGATTAAGGATGAGGTTTTTGAAGAACATTTCTTCATAACTGTGGCTGCTTTGGTTTATGAGTGTACTCAGCATAAATCAAGCAGAACGAGGTTTCTCTGTGGCAATAACAGATTTAAGTCCTTCAGCTGCTCATACAGTCTTAAAAATTGAAAATTGAAGTGAATAAAATACTGGCTCTAACTTTTTCTTCATTTTTCTCTTGATGTGGAGAGGGAGCAAAACACTGGTGTGGGGCAGGGAGGGAAGGAGGGAGGGAAGGAGGGAGAAGGGTTCCATGCCCCTCCAAGCAGGAGCCCAACTGGAGGCCTCCAACTGAGCCCCAGCCAAAGCTAGGCAATTTCATTGTTTAGTGCCCTCTGAGGAGACCACTCATCTTTGCTGGTACCTAATGCTGGCACATTGCCTGCTACCTGCTCTGCATCACACAGACATTTAATATTCCCTTTCTGTTTAAATGGGAAGAAAATAAGTCCTTTTGCCCCTCATTTTTGCTGGAAGGACCTCCAGTTGGTTTGGGAGCTCCACTTTTAATACAGAATCATTTCTTCCCTTACAGAGAACGAGTTGCATTTCAATGATCCTCTTGAAAGGTCATTAAGAATAATTTAATAAATTTTAATAATTTATTATATATTTTATCTAATTTTTAATAATTGATTCATACCTCCACTTCTTTCTGCACCAGAATGTTCAGATACATATAATATATTCCTGCTTCATGTGAGGTCCAGATATTTGGCAGTTCTGAAATGTAGCAGTCCCATAAACTTCCCAAGGGAAGAGATGAGAAGCATTGCTGCTTCCCAGATGTTCTCTTCCATGGCAGTCTCAGGCAATCAGATTTTTGTGGAGTCACCAAAGCCCCAGAGTTTACTTTGTCTTTAACCACATCCCTCAGGAAATGTCACATCCCAGTCAGACGTGCCTGAACCAGTCTTTGCAACAAAGGGAAAATAACCTCCTGCTCTTTAAAGGCTGGTGTTAGAGAAAACAGACTTGGGCAACACTGGCTTACTGTGTTGCCATGAGCAGCCACGAGAGCACTGAAGGGAGCTGTGGCTGTCAGGCCAGTTCCCTGTGCTGTGCTGTCTCCACAACAAAGAGCAACATCTCACAGCCAAAACATCCCTGCAGATCCACCAGCTGAAGGGCGAGATCCAAGGGCTTCCTCAGTGCTCCAACTTAAGCAAGTGTTAAACAGTGGAGGAAAAAATCCTTGCAGGTCGTTGCCCTGAGTGGTAGAGCTGCAACTTCCAGGTCTGGTCCCATTTAGAGCTGATGTAGCTGCTGTGGTCATCTGGCTGATGGAGGAGGAGATGCAGGCAGGCAGAACACCTGAATTTTATACAGCAAAAGTGGCAAGCATTGTATCATGGCCTAAAAAAGCAGAAGAGCAATAAAAACTGTAAAACAGGAGATGTTTTCCTTGCTGAGGAGCTCTCACAGAGGCAAAGCCCACCTTCACCAGCTTTTCTGACAGAAACATGGAAAAACCTGAGTCTGTGAGAGTAAGAGCAGATGCCAAGCAGCCTCCTGACTGCAAAGACCTCTCTGAACTTCAGTTCTGCCCCTGCCCTGCAGCAGAGACCCCAGCCCATCCAGACAGCAGGGGACCCAGACCCCTCCATGGTGGGCTTAGGGCAGATGCCAGTCCTGTGCCTGTCAAACAGCACAGTCCTCAAAGCAAACACTTCATTACATTATGCATGACAAGTCAAACATCTTTATTTATAATGCAGTTGTTTATGATATTGCAATTATGTCTGGAAAGCAGGATGAATGAATCAGCAATAATTATCCCTGTATTTTGTTGTCCAGGGAGAGGGGCTGACACAGGCAGTCCGGGTTTGCAGTTTCAAAAGGATGGGAGTTAAGGATACAGCGATTTTCTGGTCACTGGAGGTTAGAGGTGATTTTGTGCCCAGTGTAAATGGCATTGTCTGGCAGAGACAATTAGCAAATGAAGCGCTGCCTCACCAGAGGCTTTGCAGCCTCTGAGTCTCTTCTTCCAGCCTGACAACAAACAGAAATTTGAGATGGTATCTCGGGTTTCCAAAACAGGAAGCTGCTAAATCCAGCAAGAGAGCAATTCATTTCCCACTTATAATGATGCTGCTTTTAAATCCCCTTTGAGGATACTGAAGTGTGTTCCGAAGGGTAGCAAGGGAGGCATTTCATCCCCATTTTTCACCAGACCAGCTCTGCCAGCAGAGGAGCCGACAGAGGGGTGTTTTCCTGTACAGAACTGGTTGCTTCACTGTGACTCAGGCTCTGCAGTCTGCCTCCCACCCCTGACTGCCATACCCGAGGCACAGCGTGGCACAGCCCTCCCTCAAACCCCTTTCTCTTTCAAGGTCTCTTCTGTGGAGGAGGAGTTAATGGAAGTTTCCACTCACTTGTTATATTAATGCACTATAAATGACTTCTATAAATCATCAGAGTGGCCCACATCAGGCACAGGTTGGTGCAATTACAAGGTACAGGAATGTACCTTGGGCACCAGGTTCCTCTGGACAAGTGCTCCAGGTCTGGCCTTGGAGTAGTGCTGTGCTAAGGGGATGAGTTATCACAGCCAAACCTTTTCTCTTTTTTTTTTTATTTTCTCTGTTCTCCCATCATCCCCTCTTGGGTACTTGCAAAGTCCTTTCTGTTCAGCTGGCCAACAGAGAAGTAATAAGCTGAAAAATGTAAAATTATTTCAAGCTACATTCTGAAGAAAAACTTCAGAGATTTTCAACTAAATAAAGAGCTTTAAAAAGCTTCCAATTAAATAAAATATTGTTCTGACAGGACTCCTCAAGCAGTATCTTCAGTAATTGAGATTTATATGACCAGAAGTTTTGAGAGAATTGCCAGAAGGGAGAGCATTTTGAAACAAAACTTCAAGATGTTTAATCCTGAAACAATCGACACAGAACATTTGAGTTTTTCTTTTTGTCTTCCAGCCAAGAACTAACTATTCATCAAAGTTATCTCAAGTTCTATATGTGGCTTGAGTTTTCTGGAACTTAACTTTCCAGCCAATGCCATGCTTGCAAGAGT